GGGGGGGGGGGGGGGGGCTTCGCTGGTGCGCTCTTGCTCGTGCGGCCTAACCTCGCGCTTCGGACGGCAGCAGCACGGGTGTCTCTTTCTCTCCCTCTTTGGAAAGTATCTTGTTTTGTTTTTTTTGTGTGTTGTTCGTGTGTGTTGTGTGATACTAGCACTAGGCCGCCGCTGCCGCTGCCAGTAGCTCCGTTGCTGTAGCTGGTTTTTTAGAGAAGGCGCATTGCTGCTGCTGCGGGGTGCGAGAACCAACGGCGTCTTGGCGGCTGGCTGCGGATGGATGCCTTGCGTGTTTGTCGCTTTTGCGCCGCTGGGGAGTGGGTGGGTGGATGGCATCATGGGGTAGGGAGGGGCAGAGAGAATATTGGTGTGTCTGCACACGCGGGGGGAGGGGTTGTGTAGCGGTGTATGACACCCATCACGCACATGTCTCGTATGAGAAGGTTGGTTTTTTGTTCTGGCGCGAGATGCCCATGAGAGCCCCCTCGACGTCCAAGTGATGCAGGGAAGGGCTTCGTGGTTGTCTCGTAGGCCTCTGGTGAAGTGCCCGTTTTGTGTGTAGACAACGCCCGAGAGGCGCTCGCACTCTTGTCCCCTACTTGTTCCCCGGTACTTGTTTGATGTCCCAGAAAACGAACTGGTGCAAGATGTCGATTCCGGAGTGTAGGTTTTGGGAGTGTAGAGACATCTGTCCACGCGGTTCACCACAGAGAGGACTTCCAACCGGTCGTGCGCGCGGGGCGCGGGGAAATGAGGACGTGGGTGAGTCACCGTACTCATGCATACAGGGGTTGGGGGGGGGGTCCGTCGTATGCGCCTGAACGCGAAGCTGAAGTGTCCGAACCCAGTAGAAGAGTCTGCAAGGCAAGCGCTAGACAGCAGTTGCACGGGTTGTCTGGGGTCCCGTAGAGAGCAGCTCCGATCCCGCTGAGTTATCGGAAGCGCACTGCGTTGTTTTGTCTTGTTGCCTCTGCTTCGCCACCCCCCACACCCCCTGCAGTGAGGATGACCTTGCCTGATATGAGAATGGGGTGGGGTGGGGGGTAGAGGAAACGGAAGCAAGGGAAGCGTGGGATGAGTTCCCTTCCCCGCCTCCGCTAAACCATCCCTGTGTGAAGTGTAGTAGCTCGTGGCAAACCGCCGCACGCGGTGGCGAGGCGGTGTCGGGGAGGTACACCGCCCCCCCCCACG